AATAGGTTCATGGAGTCGCCACCAATGTTTTACTCAAAACATTGGAAAAAGAAAAGATTTTTAAAAGTCCAATAATGGCCTTGATAACCAGAATTGGGTTCGGGGGTCGGTTACGTGTAAGGAAGGTATTAAGCACCCTTACAACGCCCTAAATCGGTACCCTATGATGAAGATAACGTAATAAGAATTAATAGTTTAAATATTTAATCCCCTTTATTAATGATTATTGTAGGGAATGTATTAAGCACCCCTACAACGCCTTAAATGGGTACCTTATGATGAAGATAACATAATAAGAATTAATAGTTTAAATATTTAAGCCCCTTTATTAATGATTATTTACATGAAAATTAAATTACACGGTGAACCCTAAGATATCTACGTAATTGCGTTTATTATAGCAATATATGAAATAAAAGAAGAGAAAGATCGAACGATAGAACAAGAGATTGATGAGTAATACCTCGTAGCAAACTTTATTAGATCTTCAACTATAGAGATTTTAGGTGCTTTGTGGCAACCTTTCACACTAAAATATGACTCACAAAACTCAAGAAATACAATAGGAGAGAGAGAGAGAGAGAAATTTCGAGCTCTAAGGAGTCTTGGATGAATTTTTTTTTAGGTCCATTTCCTTGTTTGCATGCCCCCGGACGAAATTGGGTGTCTACATGTGTGTGTCTGTGTGTGTGTGTCTCTCTTTGTGTGTGTCTATGTGTCTGTGCGTCTGTGCATCTCTGTGCGTGCGTATGCGTGCGCGTGCGTGTGTATGTGTGGGATATTCAATATATAGTCTCTTATTTACACGGTGTATTTTCCTACTTGTGTGTGTGGATATTCAATAGTCTCTTATTTACACGGTGTATTTGCCTACTTGGTGAAATATTACTGTGTGTAAGGGAGTCAAAATAAAATTACATAAAATAATAAAACATTGTGTTTTTTACTGATCATTTTAATTATTGTCTCTATTAATAAGTATTTGTTGTCATTAATAATTTAGATTAAGTTGCTATAAGAAAAAAAAAGTAATTTAGATCAAGTAAAAAAATAACCACAATTAGTTAATTGTCAATAAATAGTTATTACTAAAGATCAAATTTGGCGTATTAGCCTTTTTTTTCTTTTTTTCTTTTTTAGTGTTGAAACCTACTTTAATATCTCCATTGCTTTTTTTTTAATCTTTGCTATTATTATATGCACCCATCGTGATGATGGTGGAAGGTGCCGTGTGTTTTTGTGAGAGCACTGATTTAAATATCACTAGATTTTCTACCAAACGATATTTTTACTTGTGAGAGTCTGGAGAGTCAATTAATTGCTAATGTATCATTAAGGACAATGTAGTGTAAAGACAATGGTAACAGATTTTATTTCATTGTTAGCCAAGCTGGAGTGAACCACTTACTACCAAATTGACACTATACAGTAAAGGATGAAATGACATGGTATTTTTTCTTGAAGTCATTAAAGATGTACCCCAACAACAACAACATGTTCTCGAAGAGGTAGAACCTGAAGTAAAGGAAAAGGATACACATAACTAACATTTCACCACACAACTACATGTAGGGACGGATCTAAGTTAAACTAAAAATTTTTTCATTCTTTTTTTTATATATAAAATATTAATAATTTTATAAAATATATATTATTAATTATATTTTAATTATCTTGTTATATCTAATATAATAAATACATTAATATTTTTTTTTATATTTT